CATAACCAGCTAATGATGACCAAATTTGGAAGAATTTTTCTCAGGTTAATTTTTATTTTTCTTAGTTTCAACTTTATTAGCATACATTACCATACCCCAAAAGAAAAGAAAAACAAAAAGTACCTGAGATAAAAAATTTGCTACAACATATTTAATATTACTTTTATTACCTGTGAGGGAAGTCTCTAGATAACCAATATTCCTGAAGTTTATCAGCATCCATCCCATACAGGAGATAGTGGAAAACATGAAAATTTTTGCCACCCTGAGAATTGAGAAGGATAAAAGAATAGTTAATACACATAGCTAACTTGAACTCTACAATGGCCACCTTGGGCAGGGATGTAACGAAGGCACCGTAGTTGTTGGAGAATTTCACCCGCTGAAAGATAGCTAATACCACAAGCTAATATTGTGCAGGAAAACAAAGACTTGAGGTAATTTTGAGCGTGATTATTAAGTAAAGCAAACAGCCCGCCTATAATAACTTTTCCTTAGCTACAATTCCCTGCATGAATGCAGTAAGTCGGTACAGTCAGGCCATTTTAGAGGGGTTGCCATTGCAAATACTGTTTCGTTAAAAGAAAAATGAATGTATTTCTTTGCTAGGACAAAAAATGTGGCCATTGTGAAGACCAAATTTGAGTGAGATATGTCCAACTGTATTGCAATGTACACAAGCCATCTCCTTTATTTTACTTACAGTATAAAAATTAAAATTATCATTATTGGCAAGCACGTTTTAAATGAGCCCCCCCTTACTTGACTGTGAAAGGTCTTTATTACACACTCCCAAAAAAGTTATTTACTTGTAAGAACACTGCAGTACGTAGATTCACTTCATCTAATATCGTTCCTATAGATCAAGACAGCAAATGGGGTAGAATGCCATTCCTTCCACCCTACCCCCTCTGGGCGGCAAGGCACAAGTCAGTACATTAACATAATTACAGAATTTATGCACCTTTTCCTGGCGAGCAATTCTTGATTTTTCCAGCATGTAGTGGTAAACTTTACCTGTAATAAAAATAATACTTGTCTGGTATCACATTACATTTGTCTTGATCATTTTAATATAACCATTTCCATTAATAACTATTTTTTGATTTTTCGATAAAAGTATAACTAAATTGCTTCTGGTGATTGCTTACATAACTTTCGATCCGTTCAGGAAGGGGGCTGGTTCAGTAATTTTGAAATTTGCTAACATCCACTAATTTTAATCGCCTTCTTTCATTCATAGGGTCACTTATATTCACTAGAGGAGATTGTTTATGTTGGAACCTTATGGTATAGTATCTTACTACTATCTGTATCGTATCAGCTATGAAATAAATATCTGGTCCAAAATTTAAAACTTAATTACCTCCAGATAATTTGTGTTCCGGAGAAAAGAAGAGTTCATAGTACAATGCAAACCGACTTGAGTTATGGTTTTGTGGAGTTACAGCATTACCAAAAGCTTCCAGTATAAACTGAACCTGAGATGAAGTGCACAATAAAGATTAGATTTAGAGAACAATGCATGTATAATATATGTGGAGACGTGTTAATGGCTGAGCGTTTAACACCTCGAACTCTGGATCTGGAGGTCCAGGGTTCAAGCCTCGCTGGTCACATTGTTTCCTTTATTTATAGACAAGGAACTTAACTTCACTTTCTCTCTTCACCCAAGTGTATAAATGGGTACCGGCGACATTCTGCTGGGGGGTAACCATGCGATGGACTAGTAACCTGTCCAGGGAAGAGTAGCAATACTCCTATGCATGATTCATGCTACGGAAACTGGTATAAGGCCCGGCAGTTTGGGACTTTGGCCCATGTGCGCTTTTACCTTACCTTTTTTTGTTTATAATAAAATAGCCATATTCAGTTCTTAATGTTCTCATCTCCTGAGTCATTTGATTTCCTTTTTTTCAAGTATTTAGAGATTTTGGGAAGGTACATTCCCATCATTTACATGGACTTTTTTTTTTTCACATACTGGCTTCAGAGTTTTCAGATCAATTTTCTCTTTATACATACCAGTAGTATCACTTTTCAAAACCATAGCATAAAAGGCATTTAAAAATCAACTCATATTTTTTTGCCAAGTGAGAGGAACTGGTCTGCAATTGTGAGTTTACTGAATTACAACAGGGTTCGTACAGGTCATGGAAAACCTGGAAAGTCATGGAATTTAATAATTTCATTTTCCAGGCCTGGAAGGTCATGGAATATAATATTATCGATCCTGGAAAGTCTTGCAAAATTAAAGTTTGGTACGTTGGTAGATTAGGTACTGAAGATGAGAAAGCAAGGATAATGTATAAAGATGAGGAGGAGTAATTGTGACTGTGAAAGGCAAAATGGACACTAAGGGTTATCCATTTGAAGGGGATAAGCGTTAGACATTATCCATTTGTTATCTCTTCGAATGCTTTAACTTTGACCATGTGGCACATAAGAATTCAGATACTCTTAGAAATTTTAAGTTGGAAAGCTTTACCTGCTGAAACTTTGCTTTCAAGCTTGGTTGAGTGGGTATACTAGTACTGGTAATGTAAAGCAGGATATGCTTAAGGCTTTCAGTCTTTCCAGAAGCACTGTCACCCGTTAACACACAGCACTGACTTTTAGAAGAGTGCCGCATTGATCTAAGGATATCTTTGCACTTGCTGTACACATGGGGTGAAAGTCGCTTGCCTGGTTTAGAGTGCTGATAAGCTTGTATGACCTGGAATAAACAAAAAGTTACCTGACCTCATCAGTCTGATAATCCTCCTATCATTATGTTTATTTTAATTTCAGAATATTGTAAAATAAACCAAACAGCAAGCAATAGCCAGCTCTATATCCTTTGCTATGCAGAGGAAGCAAGTTATCCTTAACAGGCCATTAATGGCCTTGCTTTAAAATCCCATACGATTGGACAGCGTTACCACAGTTTAGCTATTGATTTGATTGAAAGTCTCAAACTTCTGCAAATGCTTTTTTACTTTTCTGGCTGATTTGCAAACCTGCGGTGACTTATTGACTGTGTTTTGTGTGTGCATTGTTTTATTATCTGTTTTCTTTTTTGAAACTTGCAACATGTCCCCTCAGAGATTTTGCAGTTTACTGATAAAGAATTAGATGTATAATGACTGTTTCGCAGAAAGAAGGAATTACTGCACATGCGACTTCTTGGCTCATCATTACAACATATAGTCCGCGCTGGTTTTTGGACATAAAATTCAAGGATTATCAAGCACTATAAAAAACTGAGTTGTCAAGGAGTATTCAAAGCAGCTGCAACAGCACAGGTTTCGCAAAATCTGTCCCCAGTTTTAAAATCTGTGCTCAATCCCTGAATTACTTTAATACAATCCTACATTATTTCCCATCCATTTCAAGCACTTTTAGCAAAAATTCTCCTTTTCAAGGGCTTTTCAAGTGCCCTTGAAATCTAAAATTAAATTCCAGTGCTTTTTAAGGACTTCAAGGAGAATTAAGCACCAACCCTATAATTACAAACACTCCAAGATGTTGAAATTGGATCAGAAGTTGTAGAGACCCATAAATAATATTATTTCATAAGGGGTATTCTTTAAATACCCAAAAATATCCAAAAATGGGAATCCGTTATTTTTTCCTGTGTGTCATCATAAGTCCATTGTTTAGTCTGACTCTATCAGATATACTCTTTTTTTTTTATAAGAATGTTGTTTTCCCGGCCCAGGCTGAATATTCATATTTTTCTGCAGATTTCAGGCTGAAAATATTCTTGTATTATTATATTCTTCAATTGCAGCTTATGACATTTCTGTTTTAGAATATACTGGGGTATCAATTATAGATAGTGCGGTTTTTTCCCTTTTGTTAGCTAGTTTTGCTGCTTAAAGAAAGGAATAAGTTAAAAACATATAATTGTACTGTATTTACAGATTTTCACCACACAAATTATATCATTTTCAAAATCTCAGCCTGGGGTTTATTCTTAAAGTGTTTTTAAAATTTCTCAAATTCCAGCCTCGATATTCTTACAAAAAATATTCTTATAGAAAAAAAAGAGTGTAGATAGAGTCTGACTCTATCAGATAAAGTTGAGATAGAGTCTCAAGGTATCAAATCCGTTGAGGTTATCGCTGGAATATTTCAGCTCCTCTTTGGATATTTTATATGCTTCAGTAACCATTGATTTGTTCAGCAAAATGTCTGTTAGGGATATCTGTTTACAAACAACCCTTTATTTAGATGTTCCTTCCAGCCACTGAAACAAAAAACCCTTTTGTTTCAAGAGCCAATGATCAATAGGTGGCGTTAGCGATTATTTTATTTATGGTTTTAAATTATGCAAGTCGTGGCAAGTCGGCAGGGGCCTTAAGGACTCTCAACACCAGTTAACAAAAATCTCGATGACAAAAAAACAACCTTTCCCACACTTGCTGAAAATCGATTACCGATCATGCAGTTACAAATCACAGCTGTTTCAACATTGGGACGATGAGTTCCATCGGTAAAGAAACTCAGCTTTGACTGGAGCAGAAATCAAGCAAGCGTAACCCAGAAACATTCCAACAATTTCACATATTTTGCATTAGAGGCGATTCAACGTAATTACAGTCCAGAATGTCCTAGTTTTGATCGTAGATGCCTCTCTGTTGTTAGTCTGCAAAGTAGTGTGTGTTTTGTTTTGACCTTACTTAGGTGTAAGCATAATTACATCTTATGAGCATTGATAAATAACGCAAACAAATCAGCTGTATGAACGGATATGAACCTCACTTATTGAAAGCTACAGTATTTAACACCAAACAGCGATCAATATATCAATATAGGTACTTAGAGTCTACCTCAAGATCATAGATTGGTAGAGGTTTAAATGGATTCACCAACAGCAAGATATCTCCGATGGCCATCTGCAAAAGGACAAGTTCGCACGTCAGTAACGTTTTACCTGACTCACGTCTATCTATTAAAAAAAGGGTCATTCGATCGAATTACAAATATTGCATACGATTTTCAGAGACCTGAGGCTAAGCAAATTAAATCCACTTACATAAACCTCATCACGGTTATATCTTTTTCTTAACAGCTCTACAACTGTTCCCTCGTCCACGGTTTTAGCGTCCAATGCGGACAAATTTTCAGCTACCTCTTCACTCACCGCCATCTTGCTCAAGTTCTCGCGTGGATTATTTCCACTTCCGTATATCAGGCCACGCGCGCGAGTCGGTTTTGCTTGCCCTTTCAGCTATTCATTGGCCGAGATCTTTTCAAGTAAACATTACATATTTCTAAGAGATTACATGTTCCGCAGTGTTTTGCGCCTTAATACGTTCTGGGACGTTCGGAGTTTTTGAACGAAACTAATAGGACCGGCAGCACTAAAACATGGAATCCGGAAACGGAAACGGAATCACGGAAACGGAAACTAAAACGGAAACGGAAACGGAATACGAAATCAAATATCAGTGATAGAAAATTAAAGAATTTCACATTACACAATTTAGTACAATCCAAAGAGCCAGTTTGTCTTAGTTTTCTTGGCAGTTCCCTTAAATATATTCTTGTTATTGTGTCTTAAAAAGGTTTGCCGTAGTGTGGGTTACTGCACTGCAAGGCCGATGAAAGTAATTTTTCGAGTAATTTTTATTCACGAGTTCATGGGTTGAATAATACCGTTAAATATTACTTTTGTAGCTAATTGTCAAGAATAGTAGTAGTTAGCCTCAGACCACACCACGTGATTTTCCCCAAACTGAATACTCCACACATGACCGACCGGTGACGTGACCACAGTTCCGGTGTTTTAGCAATAAGTTCAACTTTTTCGCCAAGCTGAATACTGATGGAATACCGGTGTACCGGTAATTGAGTTTACGTGGACGTCCGTATTTTTGTTGAAGAGGCTTATTAAACATGGCGCATTATTTTGATGTAATCGGTTGCGGAATCAAGCAAATGCATGCACAATTCTCTCTTCTCTTTGGACTCCACAATGCCATGGTTCTCTTGAGTAAGTTGTCTTGATAAATAAAACTGAACACTGTTGAAGACAACCCAGAAAAGACACTAAGAAAAACTTGACGGCGACGCCTTTCAGTTATATAAACGACGCCTCTGACGATTCAAACGAAGTCTGTCTCCATATAACTTACCTTTTTCTTAAGGCACTAGTTTTTGTCAGTAACGTTTTTCTCCTCGCTTTGCTGTCCCATGAGAATTTGCATTCATTGCCGGTAGTGGTATCAAGCGTCTTTTCACCGGAATCGACTCCTCTAGTGATACAGCAGCCTCCTCTCCTCTACTCAGGTAATTTATTCATTTGTGTCTTTTTTTTATCTGTTTATTTATTTTATTGTCATTGCTAATATATATTTTTTTAAATCGATCGCTTGGAACCTTCTTTCACAGATTCCGTATTCCGTTTCCATTTCCATGATTCCGTTTCCGTTTCCGGGTTCCGGATTCTGTGTTTTAGTACTGCCGGATTTTATTGTGACCGCCCCCCTCCCCCGCTTATCTCAGGATCTGGATGACCGCCCCCACCTCCCCCTCCCCCACCCACTTATCTGAAGGTCTGAATCCGCCACTGCAGGCCGTGCACGATTCCCATTAGTTGGGTTGTTGTATCTTTGACTTCATAATTTGGCTCGTAACAGGAGCCGACGCCTAGTACCGCATATCTTCGATTAAGCCTCCCCTCTCAAATAATCCCCCTCTCTTAAAAGCCTTCCCGTCACCCCTTTATCCGGTCAGTAGCAGATTTAGATCCAGTCAAGTGAGGTGAGGGGGGGCTCGTTTATCCAAACCCTAAGTTAAGAGGGGGCTGGTCTCAGAAATATTTTTTCTGTGGCCCTGCAGGATTCAATTTGGCCCTAAAATAAGGTGGGGGCAAGTCCCCTAGATCTGCCACTCATAATGACTTTCCTTAGCCTGTGTACAGACCCCCCTCCCGTCAGGGGAGGCGGGTCTGTACACAGGCTAACTTTCCTTTTCTTAGCCTGCGAATACAGCTCTCTCCACCCTCCTCACCATCGAGGAGAGACGGCTATGATCAATGTTTAATGTTTCTTTTGTAGGGCGTGATCCGATTCTATGTCCTCTTTACGGGTTTTGGCTAAAGCCGAAGGCCGAACATTTTTCAGGAGAGGATAGCCCGTGGAAAGCTTCCTGGGAGAAGTGCGGTGAAAAACTAGCGACCCTCTCCCTCCCCATTTTCCTCACTGCCTGCTCGAGCTTTCTGCAAATGACATCACAAACAACTTGCCGAAAGAGGCTGGTCTCCAGATCGATCATTCACAAAACTGTGCTACTGCCGCTGCTGCTGCTGTTGCCTTTCTCTCCCCAGCCCCCACGCATTTTTCGCGTCACTTTTTACCGCACGACTGCACTACTATCTTTTGAACAGGTTATTGAAAATAATAACCTGTTCAAAACAATGGAAAGGCGCATTAAAAGAAAATAAATAACAACAAGTGTGCATCTTTCTGACCGCTTGTTCACCCGTGACCACTTATCACGAGGTCATTAATAACTGAACACACGTAATTCTAGTTTTGCCGGTGACGGATTCTTCGTGGACTCTGTTAAATCTGAGATCCAACCCTGCAACNCACTTTTCAGGAGAGGATAGCCCGTGGAAAGCTTCCTGGGAGAAGTGCGGTGAAAAACTAGCGACCCTCTCCTCCCCATTTTCCTCACTGCCTGCTCGAGCTTTCTGCAAATGACATCACAAACAACTTGCCGAAAGAGACTGGTCTCCAGATCGATCATTCACAAAACTGTGCTACTGCCGCTGCTGCTGTTACTGCTGCTGCTGTTGCCCTTTCTCTCCCCAGCCCCCACGCATTTTTCGCGTCACTTTTTACTGCACGACTGCACTACTATCTTTTGAACAGGTTATTGAAAATAATAACCTGTTCAAAACAATGGAAAGGCGCATTAAAAGAAAATAAATAACAACAAGTGTGTATCTTTCTGACCGCTTGTTCACCCGTGACCACTTATCACGAGGTCATTAATAACTGAACACACGTAATTCTAGTTTTGCCGGTGACGGATTCTTCGTGGACTCTGTTAAATCTGAGATCCAACCCTGCAACATGCTCACCAAGGAAATGGAATACCACCCAGTATACAGCCTCAAGGAAACGCCTGGATACTTCATGAGCCGAGCAAAAGCATTCCTTATTCTGCTTGTGTTTGTCTCGCTGGTGATTGTCTTAATTGTACTAGCAGTGATGTTAGCTCAGCAGAAGGGAACGCAAGGAAAGGTGTGCGAAGGCAAAGATGATCCCATTGGTAAGTGAAAATGTGAAGCCGAAGTCAATGAGTCATGGGCCAAATGAGTCAATAAGTCATGAGTCAACTTATATACTGGCACTGTATACCGTGAGTCAGGTCGGGGTTAAGCACTAACATAGTAATGGGGGTGAACACTGACAGAAGCATTAAATAGAGTGATTTTGCCGGGTTTACCGAGCTAAAATTCTCATACAAAGGCCATGAAGACGTTATATTCATTCTGCCGTATGTTACGTAATGAGGCTATGTCTATGCTATACCGGATACCTCTTGTGCCTGTACCAACCATATCGGTAAGGTCTTTAACGGACACATTAGAGAGGTGACTTCGGAGCGGTTTCATTTTAACGGAGCGCAGCGTTGATCTTGAACAGGTGTTGATACGAGGCCAGAGTACTTTTCATCTCGACCGAGCTATGGCAGCCTCAATAACTCTAACATGATTCCAACGAATTTCTTTAACGGAATAGAGAATCTTGTACGACAAGGACGGAGGGATCAATTAGTTCTACCAACAACAGATTTAAATAAGAACATTTTTTTGAAGCCTAGGGCTTAAGCAGCACATTTCTCTGCCAAAGATGCCGAAATCAAGATAATACAATTAATAAAAGATTCCACTTAAACTCACCGCATGATCGTTTGCTTACATTGTTGTTAATATAATCACTTCTGAATAATTGACAAGCAATTGCCTACGTATCAAGCACTACAGATTCCTATATTTAGTGGTAAAAACAACCCACATTTTGAGAGTGGGGATCGAGTCCACCACTTACGCGCGACGCCAAATTATAAAGCTTGAGGGGTATATTATTTGCATGTCAAAAAACTGTGATTTCTCTCCTGGAGGCCGAATTGCCATATGGCCACTACTGATTGGAAATACGGCAACCGAAGTTTTTTAATGCTGTTGATCAGTCTTTGCTGTTGTCGTTTTGAAAAAAAGTGAATTTACGCTTCACTAACGTTGAGTTTCATACCAAACACTTGACAAAACTTAACTAATGAGCGACTACCGATCGAGCAAAGTCCATTATATTCAAGTTAGAAAGGAAAATATGCCCGGGGCGAGGGTGAGGGGGTCCTCCCCAGACTATAGGAATAGGCTCAGCCTATAAAATAAGATACCCGGCCTTATTCAGGCTTCAGGTAAATTAACTAAAGAATAGGGATTTTAAGTTGAGGTAATATGAAATCCAGAATAAGGAAATCTTTCAATAGAGACCTTAAGATACCCCGAAATCGGTGTACGGGTAACGGGTAGCGCCATGTTTTTTTCATTTTGTGGTGACGTCATCGACCTTACCCGGTAGAACCAGCCGCTTTTCCGGGGTAGACACCAGTTTACCCGTAGAAGATTTACGAGTAGCTGCAAGTCCTACATGATGGAGAAACGAGTAAGTTTTTAAGACTTTTTAAGTACAAATGTAAATTGTATGACTCCTTGGCAATGTTATTGCAAGTCTGTTCAAATATNATTTACGAGTAGCTGCAAGTCCTACATGATGGAGAAACGAGTAAGTTTTTAAGACTTTTTAAGTACAAATGTAAATTGTATGACTCCTTGGCAATGTTATTGCAAGTCTGTTCAAATATTTTTGCCAAATTTGAATTTTAGCTGTAAAGAAAGCGCTTCAAAAATTTTGGACCTCAAATGCGCAGGTTGAACTCTGAAACGATATCAATTTGTGGCGGTATTTGGGGGAATTTCTGAGAATTGCTCCAACGTTTGAGTTTCGCAAAAGAAATAGCATTGAAAAATTTAGCATGGGAGTCACTGTTGAAGTTGACAATCAAAGGAATTGTTTGGTGATGTGCCTCGATCAAATGGCGGGGTTTGCCATAACAAGCTTTCGGTCGAGGGACTTCCTGCCAAGTTTATTAAAATCTTTTTATGATATTTCAATAAGCTTATGTATGAATGAATTATTTGTTGCAGCTTGTTATAAAGATATGAAGTGTAGAATTTGAGGGAGATTTTGTATGCATTAAGCGACATGCATGTACAAAGTTAATTTTGCGTGCTTGTTCTTCGGGTATTTTTAATCGAAATAGTCACGCACATGAACATTTTAAGTGTACGGGTACACTACCGGTACCCGTACACCGATATTGGGGTATCTTAAGGTCTCTATTATTTGAATAATAAACGAAAGAAATTAAACCTTTTTTTTTTGCTTAGAAGTCGGCTTTGATTGCTGTTCTACCGAATATTGTTCACATTAAAAAATGTATGCACTGTTCTTAGGCAAGTAAGTGAAGACGGTACAAGTTTTAATTGGAAGGTATATGAAAGAGGTGCTTTTTGGTCAAAAATGGTTTATAAACGCTTAGGGTTTGAAACTCGGGGCAGAGCCTCCCGGCGAAAACTGAATACTTTGTTGAGTTCCCTTTTGCATGCCCGCCCCCTCCGGGAAGAAAACCGAACGTTTACAGCCTTTCTATATCCTTTAAACTCAATCTTTTCTATTTTTCTTCCACTAGAGGAAAAGTCATCCTTGAGCCCATTGTCCTGTGATGTGGTTGTGGTTGGAGGTGGTATTTCAGGATTGTACATGGCAGAGACACTCGTGCGAAGGAAGAAAGAACATGACGTGTGTTTGTTCGAAAAAGATCCAAGGTTCGGCGGAAGAAATTATGACGTCGCCTTTAAACAAGCTCAAAACGTCAGCCTAAGTAAGAAACTTCATTTTCCTTGAACTTGATAAATTCTTAGAAGATTACTAGCCTGAATTTCATCCGATTACTTCAAGTCGTTATTACTCCCTCATGTTGAGAGGAGAAAACGACTCGAAGGAATCGGATGAATTTCAGGCTAAGAAGATTACTTGAGTAAAACATATGATCATTAACTATTGGGGAGGGAAGGGGGTTGGTCTTATTTGAAACCCATTAATAATTCACGATCATACAACGAAAGGAGTCATTACTGTGAAGGATACAATATTATTAAGTGAATTAACTGGTCACTGCTGAAGACATAGATGTTTCGATCCCTTTTCGATCGCCAGCCCTTCATGTTTCAGTCTGTTGTTCATATCAATCGCGAGAGCGAGTTTATACCTGCTATACTTGCGAGTATATACTTGTGGTTTGTGTGTACGGTGTTACTCAGTTTATTTAATTGAATGGTGAAGCTACGCTAACATGAAAACCAAGAAAAAACTTATTCTTAACTAATCAAATGAAAAGCCTTTGTTGACTTCGTCACACGTCAAAAGCTCCATCCTATAAATTTAAATTTCTTAGTTAATAACTCTATCTGAAACGTTTACTCATCTGGCGAACCCAGCACGGTGCGTTGTGTTCAACAGATTGCACCACACAAAAGTCAAATCAAAGTAAAAACTAATAAGGGCAACTCGTGGATACATTTTTTAGAAATTAAAAAGAGCAGGGGAACGATGAAATAAACTAGTATTTCTTTCGAAACTAACCCTTCGAGAAATGTCCAGCATAACTCTTTCTCAAACCCTTCACTAATAACATCAGACACAAAAGAAAAAAGTAACGGTTGATTAAGACCGAATTAAAATTTTACAGAGTAATGTTCCATAGCACTGTTCAAACTAATGTTTGATCCGATATCCAGCAATTGCTGAACGCCTCGTTCCTTCAGGTCCTTTTTTTCCCTTGGTGTTTGGATGTTGGATGAAACACGTGTTTCACAGAAAACGTTAAGAAGAAGAGTCGGATCTCCGTAACTGTAAAATGGATCCACCCAAGCAACCGTTCATTTTTCAGTATGTGTTCCTTTATTAGGTATGGGAGCTTGGAGAGTAAACACAGCTCACAAGAAAATGTTGTAAGTTTTCAAAAGTTGCTGCAGTTCTTAATTTTATACTGCCCTTTTATCAATGCCAAAAATCAACTTTGAAATCTTCAGACTCAAGCTAAATTATTAAGGAGAACCTTTTAATATGTTTTTTTCTTTTTCAGAAACTTAGCGAAAAGGCTCAATATCTCGATGCTTAAAATGCCTTCATTGACCATTGATTATTTAGAAGGCAGAGGAATATATGCCGACAACCATCAGTCCTTAAAGGAAAAAGCTTTTCCCACTCTCATGTCCACTATCTTTGCTAACATGACTCCTTCTCAGATGTTTGCGTTTGCTTGGAGGAACATGTCCAAAGAGAAAGCTTTAGAGTATCCGTCTTACCAGGATTTCCTTTGCCAGCGAGTTGGAAGTGAAGGATGTGCCTTTTTAAATCTGATTTACGGAATAAAAATGAATTATAATATAGCGAGAAGCACGATGACTAGATACGAGAGTAATAACGGAATGAAGTTTACATCTGAATACGTTAGACCAAGAGGTGGATTATCCGAAATTGTGGATGCTTTAGCGAAATCTGTGAAGCGTTTTGGGGTAAGAATGTACGCAAAGGAAGCTGTGAGCTCAATCGACAGAGACGGAGAACCAAACACGTTTGTAGTCCGTACTGAACGTTACGTTGTATCGGCTAAAAAGGTTATCGTTGCTATCCCATTTTTGCCATTAAAAGAGATAAACGGTGATATCGCCTTTGAAATCAAAAATCATGCTTATTTCACGCATATCATTGGTCAAAAATGCTTCAAAGCAGTGGCGATTTACAAGTATCCTTGGTGGGAAAACGCAACATCGGTCCATAACATGTCGTTGAAGACCTGGAAAAGATACGTATCAACTGCTACTTGTTTGGTGTATATGATGCCTTACAGGTAATTATAAGCTGAACGAAAATCATCCCCCTATGTAATTTTACCGAGGACAAAGCAGGGGCACCCAACGAGGATATAGTTCAAAACCACTTAAACATAGCATTGTTAAACGTATTTTAGTATTTAAACCGTAGATATAGGCATATTTTTATCCCCTAGAAATTTTACATCTGTTCGGCGTTCCTAGCTGAAAGTCTAGTGATCCGAAAATTATAGGGATCAAAACTTACCTTTCCGAAAATTTCAGCCAGAAAAACAGCACCCGAAAATTCAAGGTGACCTTTTAAGGGTAAAAATCCGTTAAAAAAGGGCAATTATACCAATTTTTTAGATGTTCGAAAATCCTAGGAGAGGCAGGCGAGCAAGAAATTTTACAACAAATGTTCCGAAAATTGTAGATCGCAAATCGTCTTCCGAACAGATATTTTCCGAAAATTGTCGTTGGGTGCCCCTAACAAAGTAACCTTTTATGATCGGAGCCGGAACGGAATATTTTTTAGTTTCATTGGCCTGATCCTGGCTGGGTAAGGAGAAACTTTTATCAAGGTGCAGGGCTCATCTCATAGTTTTCATGATGCCTACTCTTGCATTAAAACTGACTGGAGGTATATAGGTGGTTTTCACGTTACGTCATCGCCGTCATGCTGGTGGACGGTAAACAAAAGATCGCTCATTAGCTCGCTTTGTTTGTCCACCATCATTTGTTCATTTCACCATTGTTATTTGTGTCTCCCGAGATTGCATGAAAACCACCTATTGGCCATTTAGCTGATGCTTTGAGACTGGCCAGGTCAACTTTGTGTCCAATTGGAGGGTTCCCGATAGGTTTTGTGGGATCCAGCGGGATTTGTCTTATTTGAAGGCCGGGATGCTGGAATTTAAACCAAAATGTCGCGAAAAAAGTAAAAAATAGTTTAAAAATGCTAAAAAAATTAAAAATTGCCGAAAAGTTGCCGAGCAACTTGTGGCTAAGCCTATTGCCAAGCTCTGCCTAGCTGATAAAGCACTATCATTTAAATGAAGATATGATCGTTGCGGTTACCATAGTAATTTAAGCAATTGCAAATTAAGCTTCCTAAACCCCCCCCCCCCCCCCCCTACCAAAAACCAACAACAACAACAATAACGGATTTCAACGAGATTCAAGCATATGGCCTCTGTGTTAGCGCTGAACTACTCCACCAAGTGAGAAAGAAGACCCATACATTGGCAGCAGCCCAATTTGCGACCTCGTCGATCCCCAAGGCTTTCCGTCCCTCAATTTTCTAAGGGAAAAGCCATGCGGACGAAGTTGGCCAGTTTGTTGAGTTCTTCTTAACCCGTGAAAGGAATAAAACACAAAAATAATAAAGATTATGTGAACCGGGCAAATGAAGATATGACCGAGGTTCACGTCATCTTCATTCTATATTAGCACTATCTGTTACTAATGCCGCAAATTTCTAATTGCCAAGTTTGTCTTTCTTTGTATTTTAGCCAAGGACCTCAAGGTGAAGGAATCATTCAACTAAGCTACAATTTTTACGACTGCGCAGTGAAATGGGGCCAGCTTTCCAAATTACCTACAGCCACATTCCTATCGGAATTGAATAAAGCTGTGCAGGCGGTGTTTCCAGGAATGGTTGTTCCGGAACCCCTCGACGTCAAATTCAAGTACTGGGAAGCGTGCTGGCAAGTATTAAATTAAATCGATTATGAAAACATCTAGATTCACAGCAGCAAGCCCGTAAAAAACTTTGGGTCAAACAGACTGGAATCAAAGAATGATTCCCTGCTAGAAATCTCTCACAGCAAGAGAAGAAGGAGCCTGAGGAAAGGCCTCTGCTAACCCCCGACGCGTGGCCTGAGAGTTTTGGCCATTCTCGCGGACTTTGCCGCGAGAATGCGACCTCCCCATTCTCCGCACGGCTTTGCAGTTCCTTTGCCAAAATTTTTGCCCATGCTAAATAACACTCCCGCCGGGTACCCAGGCCACCGCGCGTTCTTTTATGTAGCCGCCGACCACATCTGTGCTCAAACCTTACTACTTTTTAAAACCAGTTTCGTTCAATAAGGAATGCGCGTGCCCTTAGACCGTACGTGATACATCAAAGGCTGCTTGGTGCTCACTTGCAAATTTTTTTAAGAAGACTCTCTTCGCTGCATTAATTCTTGAAAGAAAAGGAGTCTCTGAAAATGGGATGAATCAGTCTCTCACGCTGTGACACGTCCTAAAGAAATTTGTAGCCTTAAGACTCCAGCCTGGTTCCCAGAACCTTTCCCTTAGAAGGTGGCCCCTCCCATTTTCTAGGGAAAAACCCCAGAGGGGTACTCCTGAGAATTCTTCGTGGGGGCATGCCGCCCTGTTCTCCAAATCCTGACCCTATTTCAGATGAAAAAATGTCATTTTTCGCACCCGTTTTCAGACCTGACCTCTAAGAAATCATGTCATCATTACTTAGATTAGAGAGCAACATAAAAGATTTCTTAAAATCCATTTCGAATTCGCATATTTCTCTTTCTTTCTCACTCATTCTGAATTGAAACTATAAATACGATCATACACTTCCGTAGTTCCCTCGAAAACCGTACCCGATTCCAGACCGAAATGGGCAAAGTCTATACCCGTTTTCAGACAAAAACGGCGCAAAAAAGCATGACCTTTAGGGCGGCGCATACCTACATGGGTTGTATAAGAGAGTAACCCCTCCCTCCCCCGGCTAAAAATTCTCAAATTCCCTAGTGATTTTACATGTTATGCTGTATTCATTTAAAACTTGCGCACTGCACACCTTATGATTCTGTAAGGGGCGGGTGTTAAGGGGTAGGGGCGCTTGTCTAAAGAGTGGCGCTGATTCGAGCATTTACGTAATGTTTTAGGCATTACACAAAGGCAGGATCTAACGTCAGCCGTCAAGATACAGAGGAATGGGCCAAGCGCCCTTTTCCAGGAGAGGAGGTATACATCGTCGGTGAAGCGTTTGCGGTGATCGTGGGATGGAATGAAGGAGCCCTCCAAACAGCATACAAAGCACTTAAGGAAGGATGGGGAATAGAAGAGCCAGAACCTTAATGGAAAGATTCATAATAAAGCACAGGGCTGGATTCAGGATACTTTTTACATGAAGGATCAAAACTTTGCTTACTGTTTTAAATAGTCTGAAATGTCATACGTCTCCAGGAGTAGACGTATGACGTTTCAGACTAACTGTTTAATCTTTTCACTGCAAATCATTTCTTGAAGATATTTACCTTATTTTCTACAAATTTTTAACTGAGCAGTTCTTCATATGCAATCCTTCAATTTAACTTTCTTAGCACTTTATCATTAAATTTTGTATACAAAAAAAAAATAATGTCCTGGTCTGATGATTGTATTTAGGGTGACGGGGGGACATTTTCTCCTGAACCCGGAACCGCCCCTGGCAAAAAAACCCTTTCACTTGGAAAAAGCCTTCAGAAGGAATCAAACCTTTGTCATCCAAATTGCCATAAGCGTTGCCTTACCACTTAGCTGTGAAGTCTTTGATGGTTACATATAACTTGGGGCTAGGACCCGTGTTACCCAGTTACTGGGTACGAGCGACACTTAGGCGGTATTCCCCATAATGGTCTATACGGGGACGTATAGGGGTGCCCTAGTGAAACCTCAGGTATATAAAAGGGTAGGGATTTCACTAGCTGAAGCATATAAACTGTAGGTAAAGCTGTCTTTCCGTCTGTATAAACACCTACAAGGGCTGACACAGGAATTTATGGCTGTGATAAAGTCGAGAAAATTTCCTACTCTTGCGATTTTATCATATTTCAAAGCGGTGAGTGCATTTACAGCAACTGACAAGGATGCAACGTTCTAAACCAGGTATTTGAAAGGGGTACCATTCGTCAAAGGAAGGTATACGAAAAGGGTACCTTTTCTGTCTAAAATGGTATATAAAAGGGTAAGGGGTTGAACCTCGGGGCGGAGCCTCCCCGTATAAAACTCTGTTGAGTACCCACCCCCAAGGAGGAAAACACGCGAACTCCTCCCATGTGCTCACGCGTCCTCGAGATTTCTCCCTTCGCCCTGAAAAAACCGGCGCCTGGAACTCTCACTGTACTCTGGCCTTAGCCTGCGGACGGCAGAATCAGACGTCCCTCAGCGGCGATAAGCGAGAAGAAACGTCTGCCGTTCGCAGGCTACTCTGGCCTACGAGTAAGCTCTCAGGCTCGTTGTTCCCCAAATCCCTCTCGCGCGGCCATGTGGTTTCCTCTATTTACGTGGCTAAATTCACTTTCTTAAACTGAATTTTGCCCTTGATCTCACCAATTTGTCCCACCGTTACAGATTTTTGTGAGAGTGAAGTTTTGTAGCTGTTTGCAGATTTTTCCTGTGTCAATTCTGTATGTTTATTACTCTATCTTGCTATAAAAAACCCCGTCCTTTTCTTTGTCTCCTTCGCAAGAAAAAAGCTACCTTAAACCGTATCAAATGTCAATTCCGTTCTTATCTGACACATCGCCCGCCTTGAATCCTAGTTGAACCAGTTTTTTTACCATGTAAGCTTGTGTCGAGCTTGAGTGGGCCCGTTCTACTGTCTGGCGCACCCCAACAATCTAACGTAAACATGTTAGGTTTAATCGATGCTAGGCCTGCCAGCCTGTCCACAGATTTCCTTTCTCTTTTTTGAGTTAATTTAGTGATATAGTAATTTTTGTTTATAGTAAAAAAAACTCGTTTTTTTTTTTGTTACTCCAACTGAAAAAGTTTAGAAGGTTTGTGAAGAAAATGTGAACGGGCCAACGGTGGGAGGGATCGGGCCGAATTCCAGCGGCACTTTCAATTTTGTCTAGATACCTCATGTAGGTACGTTTTTGTTGTGTGAGTGATTCGGTGAGGAAAGCAGATGACGAGTCGATGGAAGTCGACGATGACCGAAGATCAGTTTTAAAAGGAGTTCAAAAAAAAAAGGTACAGGACGATTTTCTGGAAGTTAAGGATAACGGGATTTTCGTGTGAATGTACAACTGGTATTGATGGTACAGCTGATTGACAGTAAGCTTCCTTTATTTTGAGCATATTTGCTGCATATAAACAGAAGCTTTCTTACAGGAAAATCAAGGTCGAGGTAAGTGTTATCAGCCGAAGCCGAAGGCTTTTAGCCAATGAGAAGACAGATGGTGACTACAATGTATAATTAGTTTGCATTAGAGGCGATTCAACGTAATTACAGTCCAGAATGTCCTAGTTTTGATCGTAGATGCCTCTCTGTTGTTAGTCTGCAAAGTAGTGTGTGTTTTGTTTTGACCTTACTTAGGTGTAAGCATAATTACATCTTATGAGCATTGATAAATCAGCAAACAAATCAGCTGTATGAACGGATATGAACCTCACTTATTGAAAGCTAAAGTATTCAACACCAAACAGCCATCAATATATCAATATAGGTACTTAGAGTCTACCTCAAGATCATAGATTGGTAGAGGTTTAAATGGATTCACCAACAGCAAGATATCTCCGATGGCCATCTGCAAAAGGACAAGTTCGCACGTCAGTAACGTTTTACCTGACTCACGTCTATCTATTAAAAAAAGGTCATTCGATCAAATTACAAATATTGCATACGATTTTCAGAGACTTGAGGCTAAGAAATTTAAATCCACTTACATAAACCTCATCACGGTTATATCTTTTTCTTAACAGCTCTACAACTCTTCCTTCGTCCACGGTTTTAGCGTCCAATGCGGACAAATTTTCAGCTACCGCCTCACTCACCGCCATCTTGCTCAAGTTCTCGCGTGGATTATTTCCACTTCCGTATCAGGCCACGCGCGCGAGTCGGTTTTGCTTGCCCTTTCAGCTATTCATTGGCCGAGATCTTTTCAAGTAAACATTACCTATTTCGAAGAGATTACATGTACCGCAGTGTTTTACGCCTTAATACGTTCTGGGACGTTCGGAGTTTTTGAACGAATTTCAGTCCTACTAAAAATCACTCAATATACTTACAACATCCCTTGAATGACCCCGGAACAAAGTCATGCAACAAAGCCTCCAGGAGCCGATTACTAATCGGCTCCTGAGCCTCAAATGATTGTAGATATTGTTGACAGGCCAGTTGCGGATCTAGGAGAGGGGCCCGCCCCCATCCCCCTTATTTTTAGAACAAACTGAGGCCCGAAGGGCCGAAAAAAAATTTTTGTGACCGCCCCCCTCCCCCGCTTATCTCAGGGTCTGGATGACCGCCCCCACCTCCTCCCCCCCCACTTATCTGAAGGTCTGAATCTGCCACTGCAGGTCGTGCACGGATTCTCATTAGTTGGGTTGTTGTATCTTTGACTTCATAATTTGGCTCGTAACAGGAGCCAACACCTAGTACCGCATATCCTCGATTGAGCCTCCCCTCTCAAATAATCCCCCTCTCTAAAAAGCCCTCCCCCACCCCCTTTATCCGGTCAGTAGCAGATTTAGATTCAGTCAAGTGAGGTGGGAGGGGGGCTCGTTTATCAAAGCCCTAAGTTAAGAGGGGGGCGGGTCTCAGAAATATTTTTTCTGTGGCCCTGCAAGCTTCAGTTTGGCCCTAAAATAAGGTGGGGACAAGTCCCCTAGATCTGCCACTCATAATCACTTTCCTTAGCCTGTATACAGACCCCCCTCCCCTGTGGGGAGGCGGGGTCTGCATACAGGCTAACTTTCCTTTTCTTAGCCTGCGAATACAGCCGTCTCTCCACCCTCCTCACCATCGAGGAGACACGGCTATGATCAATGTTTATTGCTTCTTTTGTAGGGCGTGATCCAATTCTATGTCCTTTTTACGGGTTTTGGCTAAAGTCAGGAGAACATTTTTCAGGAGAGGATAGCCCGTGGACAGCTTCCTGGGAGAAGTGCGGTAAAAAAATAGCGACCCTTTCCCTCCCCTTTTTCCTTACTGCCTGCTCGAGCTTTCCGCAAACTGACAACACTCACAACTTGCCGAAAGAGGCTGGTCTCCAGATCGATCAGTCACAAAACTGTGCTACTGCCGCTGCTGCCGCTGTTGCCCTCTCTCTCCCCAGCCCCGACACATTTTTGCGTCACTTTTCACTGCACGACTGCACTACTACCTTTGGAACAGAATATTGAAAAAAAAAAACCTAATCAAAACAATGGAAAGGCGCATTAGAAGAAAATAAATAACAGTAAGTCTGCATCTTTCAGACCACTTGTTCACCCGTCACCACTTATCACGAGGTCATTGATAACTAAACACACGTAATTCTAGTTTTGCCGGTGACAGATTCTTTGTGGACTCTGTTAAATCTGAGGTCCAACCCTGCAACATGCTCACCAAGGACATGGAATACCACCCAGTAGTATACAGCCTCAAGGAAACGCCTGGATATTTCATGAGCCGAGCGAAAGCATTGCTTATTCTGCTTGCGTTTGTCTCGCTGGTGATTGTCTTAATTGTACTAGCAGTGATGTTAGCTCAGCAGAAGGGAACGCAAGGAAAGGTGTGCGAAAGCAAAGATGATCCCACTGGTAAGTGAAAATGTGGGGCCGACGTCAATGGGTCATGACAATGAGTCATGAGACAAGTTATATACACTGACAAAAGCATTAAATATAGTGATTTTGCCGGGTTTTCGGGGCTAAAATTCTCATACGAAGGCCATGAAGACGTCATATTCACTCCGCCGTATGTTAGCTAATGAGGGTATGTCTGTGCTATACCGGATATGTCAGTCTTGTGCCATATCGGAAAGGTTTTTAATGAACACATCAGAAAGGTGATTTCGGAGCGGTTTCATTAACGTAGCGCCGCGTCGATCTTGAACAGGTGTTCGTACGAGGGCCGAGTACTTTTCATCTCGACATGATAAGAATAGAGAATCGTGTACGACAAGGACGGAGGGATCAATTAGGTCTACCAACAACAGATTTAAATAGGAACATTCTTTTGAAGTCTAGGGCCTAGGCAGCACATTGCTCTGCCAGAGATGCTTTAATACGATAACAAAATACTGAATAATACAATTAATAAAAGATTCCACTTAAACTCACCGCATGATCGTTTGCTTACGTTGTTGTTAAAACAATCACTTCTGAATCATTGACAAGCAATTGCCTACCTCTATCAAGCATTATATATTCCTATAGGTAGTGGTGAAAACAACCCACATTTTTGAGCAGTGGGGATTGAGTCCACCACTGTACGCGCGACGCCCAATTATAACGCACGAGGGGCATATTATTTGTATGTCAAAAAACTGTGATTACTTGTCTCCTGAGAGCCGAATTGGCAGCAGAATTGCTTTACAATGATAAAGGCTGGTACTGGCCACTATTGAGTCGAAATACGGCAACCGAGGTATTTTTTTTGTTGATCAATCCTTGCAGCTGTCGTTCAGACAAAAATTTATGCTTCACTAACGTTGAGTTTCATAGCGAACAATTGACATAACTTAACTAATGACGGCAACTGACGAGCAAAGTCCATTCAAGTTAGAAAGGAAAATATGCCGGGGGCAAAGGTGAGGGGTACCTTTATTCAACCTTTATTCAAAAATCTGTAGTCTTGCAACGGGTTTGCCATCACGCAAGACGCCTAACTAAATAAAATGAAATAAAATTAGAAGTAATGACGTTAAAAAATTTTCTACAAAAGATGAAATGAAAAAAATATATATATATTCCACAGCATCAATCACAGTATGCAATATTAAAATTCATCATTGACTAAAATACTCAAATAAGACTTTTTTGAGTCGATCTGCCGACTGAATGCCAACAATTTCGCTTGGTAACGCATTCCAGGCCTCTACAGGCTCCACCTATAAAATAATTAAGAAACGTTTCAGTCATGCTTCAGATAAATTAACTAAAGAAAAGGGATTTTTACAAGTTGAAATACTATCACATCCACACTAAGGAAATCTGTTCGGCATTATTTGAATGATAAACAAAAGAAACAAAATTGTTTTTTTTGTGTGTTTGTTTACTCGGCTTTCGGATAGGATTGCTGTTCTCCCGAAATTATATAGTGTTCATTAACTTCCCAGTTCCCAGGGTTTAAATAATAGATGCACTGTTCTTAAGCAGGTAAGTGAAGACGGTACAGTTTTTAAGTGGAGGGTCAGATATGAAAGAGGTGCCATTTTTGTCAAAAATGGTTTATAAAGGCTTAGGATTTGGAACTCGTGGCAGAGTCCCCCGGATAATATTATTTTGTTGAGTTGCTCCCCTTGTCAGCTCCCTTTCCGTGCCCCCTCCGAGAAGAAAACCGAACCTTTAAAGCATTTCTGAATCCAATCACAGATTCCTTCAAACTTAACCTTTTCTATTTTTCTTCCCGTCTAGACGAAAAGTCATCCTTAAGCCCATTATCCTGTGATGTCGTTGTGGTTGGAGGTGGTATTTCAGGATTATACATGGCAGAGACACTCATGCGAAGGAAGAAAGAACATGACGTGTGTTTGTTTGAAAAGGATTCGAGGTTCGGCGGAAAAAATTATGACGTCGCCTTCAAAAAAGCTCAAAACGTCAGCCTAAGTAAGAAACTTCATTTTCCTTGGACTTGATAAATTCTTATAAGATTACTTGAATAAGACATGTGATCATTAACTACTTGGGGCGGGGGGAGGGTTTTCAGTCTTATCTCGAATGCATTAATATAATAATTCACGATCATACAACGAAAGGAGTAATTACCGTGAAGGATACAATATTATTAAGTGATTTAACTGGCCACCGCTGAAGAGATATATGTTTCGATCGCCAGCCCTTCATGTTTCAGTCTGTTTTGTTCATATCAATCGCGCGAGCGAGAAAGAAGAGAAAGACTTGCGGTTTGTGTGTGCGGTGCTACTTTAAGGTGTTTCGATACAGTTTTTCAGAGGCCATACCGATATTTTTCAATCGCCTTAAAAGTGTTTTTTTCCTTGTCTGATCGCTATAAAATTTTCACCAGTAATTGGCTATGGATTGAAATTTGTGAAAATGTAGTTTTAATTTACAACATCCCTTGAATGACCCCGGAACAAAGTCATGCAACAAAGCCTCCAGGAGCCGATTACTAATCGGCTCCTGAGCCTCAAATGATTGTAGATATTGTTGACAGGCCAGTTGCGGATCTAGGAGAGGGGCCCGCCCCCATCCCCCTTATTTTTAGAACAAACTGAGGCCCGAAGGGCCGAAAAAAAATTTTTGTGACCGCCCCCCTCCCCCGCTTATCTCAGGGTCTGGATGACCGCCCCCACCTCCTCCCCCCCCACTTATCTGAAGGTCTGAATCTGCCACTGCAGGTCGTGCACGGATTCTCATTAGTTGGGTTGTTGTATCTTTGACTTCATAATTTGGCTCGTAACAGGAGCCAACACCTAGTACCGCATATCCTCGATTGAGCCTCCCCTCTCAAATAATCCCCCTCTCTAAAAAGCCCTCCCCCACCCCCTTTATCCGGTCAGTAGCAGATTTAGATTCAGTCAAGTGAGGTGGGAGGGGGGCTCGTTTATCAAAGCCCTAAGTTAAGAGGGGGGCGGGTCTCAGAAATATTTTTTCTGTGGCCCTGCAAGCTTCAGTTTGGCCCTAAAATAAGGTGGGGACAAGTCCCCTAGATCTGCCACTCATAATCACTTTCCTTAGCCTGTATACAGACCCCCCTCCCCTGTGGGGAGGCGGGGTCTGCATACAGGCTAACTTTCCTTTTCTTAGCCTGCGAATACAGCCGTCTCTCCACCCTCCTCACCATCGAGGAGACACGGCTATGATCAATGTTTATTGCTTCTTTTGTAGGGCGTGATCCAATTCTATGTCCTTTTTACGGGTTTTGGCTAAAGTCAGGAGAACATTTTTCAGGAGAGGATAGCCCGTGGACAGCTTCCTGGGAGAAGTGCGGTAAAAAAATAGCGACCCTTTCCCTCCCCTTTTTCCTTACTGCCTGCTCGAGCTTTCCGCAAACTGACAACACTCACAACTTGCCGAAAGAGGCTGGTCTCCAGATCGATCAGTCACAAAACTGTGCTACTGCCGCTGCTGCCGCTGTTGCCCTCTCTCTCCCCAGCCCCGACACATTTTTGCGTCACTTTTCACTGCACGACTGCACTACTACCTTTGGAACAGAATATTGAAAAAAAAAAACCTAATCAAAACAATGGAAAGGCGCATTAGAAGAAAATAAATAACAGTAAGTCTGCATCTTTCAGACCACTTGTTCACCCGTCACCACTTATCACGAGGTCATTGATAACTAAACACACGTAATTCTAGTTTTGCCGGTGACAGATTCTTTGTGGACTCTGTTAAATCTGAGGTCCAACCCTGCAACATGCTCACCAAGGACATGGAATACCACCCAGTAGTATACAGCCTCAAGGAAACGCCTGGATATTTCATGAGCCGAGCGAAAGCATTGCTTATTCTGCTTGCGTTTGTCTCGCTGGTGATTGTCTTAATTGTACTAGCAGTGATGTTAGCTCAGCAGAAGGGAACGCAAGGAAAGGTGTGCGAAAGCAAAGATGATCCCACTGGTAAGTGAAAATGTGGGGCCGACGTCAATGGGTCATGACAATGAGTCATGAGACAAGTTATATACACTGACAAAAGCATTAAATATAGTGATTTTGCCGGGTTTTCGGGGCTAAAATTCTCATACGAAGGCCATGAAGACGTCATATTCACTCCGCCGTATGTTAGCTAATGAGGGTATGTCTGTGCTATACCGGATATGTCAGTCTTGTGCCATATCGGAAAGGTTTTTAATGAACACATCAGAAAGGTGATTTCGGAGCGGTTTCATTAACGTAGCGCCGCGTCGATCTTGAACAGGTGTTCGTACGAGGGCCGAGTACTTTTCATCTCGACATGATAAGAATAGAGAATCGTGTACGACAAGGACGGAGGGATCAATTAGGTCTACCAACAACAGATTTAAATAGGAACATTCTTTTGAAGTCTAGGGCCTAGGCAGCACATTGCTCTGCCAGAGATGCTTTAATACGATAACAAAATACTGAATAATACAATTAATAAAAGATTCCACTTAAACTCACCGCATGATCGTTTGCTTACGTTGTTGTTAAAACAATCACTTCTGAATCATTGACAAGCAATTGCCTACCTCTATCAAGCATTATATATTCCTATAGGTAGTGGTGAAAACAACCCACATTTTTGAGCAGTGGGGATTGAGTCCACCACTGTACGCGCGACGCCCAATTATAACGCACGAGGGGCATATTATTTGTATGTCAAAAAACTGTGATTACTTGTCTCCTGAGAGCCGAATTGGCAGCAGAATTGCTTTACAATGATAAAGGCTGGTACTGGCCACTATTGAGTCGAAATACGGCAACCGAGGTATTTTTTTTGTTGATCAATCCTTGCAGCTGTCGTTCAGACAAAAATTTATGCTTCACTAACGTTGAGTTTCATAGCGAACAATTGACATAACTTAACTAATGACGGCAACTGACGAGCAAAGTCCATTCAAGTTAGAAAGGAAAATATGCCGGGGGCAAAGGTGAGGGGTACCTTTATTCAACCTTTATTCAAAAATCTGTAGTCTTGCAACGGGTTTGCCATCACGCAAGACGCCTAACTAAATAAAATGAAATAAAATTAGAAGTAATGACGTTAAAAAATTTTCTACAAAAGATAAAATGAAAAAAATATATATATTCCACAGCATCAATCACAGTATGCAATATTAAAATTCATCATTGACTAAAATACTCAAATAAGACTTTTTTGAGTCGATCTGCCGACTGAATGCCAACAATTTCGCTTGGTAACGCATTCCAGGCCTCTACAGGCTCCACCTATAAAATAATTAAGAAACGTTTCAGTCATGCTTCAGATAAATTAACTAAAGAAAAGGGATTTTTACAAGTTGAAATACTATCACATCCACACTAAGGAAATCTGTTCGGCATTATTTGAATGATAAACAAAAGAAACAAAATTGTTTTTTTTGTTTGTTTGTTTACTCGGCTTTCGGATAGGATTGCTGTTCTCCCGAAATTATATAGTGTTCATTAACTTCCCAGTTCCCAGGGTTTAAATAATAGATGCACTGTTCTTAAGCAGGTAAGTGAAGACGGTACAGTTTTTAAGTGGAGGGTCAGATATGAAAGAGGTGCCATTTTTGTCAAAAATGGTTTATAAAGGCTTAGGGTTTGGAACTCGTGGCAGAGTCCCCCGGATAATATTATTTTGTTGAGTTGCTCCCCTTGTCAGCTCCCTTTCCGTGCCCCCTCCGAGAAGAAAACCGAACCTTTAAAGCATTTCTGAATCCAATCACAGATTCCTTCAAACTTAACCTTTTCTATTTTTCTTCCCGTCTAGACGAAAAGTCATCCTTAAGCCCATTATCCTGTGATGTCGTTGTGGTTGGAGGTGGTATTTCAGGATTATACATGGCAGAGACACTCATGCGAAGGAAGAAAGAACATGACGTGTGTTTGTTTGAAAAGGATTCGAGGTTCGGCGGAAAAAATTATGACGTCGCCTTCAAAAAAGCTCAAAACGTCAGCCTAAGTAAGAAACTTCATTTTCCTTGGACTTGATAAATTCTTATAAGATTACTTGAATAAGACATGTGATCATTAACTACTTGGGGCGGGGGGAGGGTTTTCAGTCTTATCTCGAATGCATTAATATAATAATTCACGATCATACAACGAAAGGAGTAATTACCGTGAAGGATACAATATTATTAAGTGATTTAACTGGCCACCGCTGAAGAGATATATGTTTCGATCGCCAGCCCTTCATGTTTCAGTCTGTTTTGTTCATATCAATCACGCGAGCGAGAAAGAAGAGAAAGACTTGCGGTTTGTGTGTGCGGTGCTACTTTAAGGTGTTTCGATACAGTTTTTCAGAGGCCATACCGATATTTTTCAATCGCCTTAAAAGTGTTTTTTTCCTTGTCTGATCGCTATAAAATTTTCACCAGTAATTGGCTATGGATTGAAATTTGTGAAAATGTAGTTTTAAGTAAAATCGATATTACTATGACAACAATAAACAAAAAACTTTAAAATTGATAAAAGCCGAATTTTTTCTGATCTAGGCCAGTAGTATAGGAGGGGTGTTTTAGGCCCCTTTTTTGCGCAGGAATCTCATTAGCGTGCGCAGGAATAAATTAAGGCCAATGACGCTATAACCTTTTGTCTTGATCTCATGGATAAAATGCGCAGGGATGCCATTAAGATAAGGTCATGTGCTATTTTTAGTTGGTTTGGGATTTCTAGTTACTTTAAGGTCGATAAACGTCTTCGTTTTCGATTGGTTAGTTAGAAAATAAGAAACGTTTTTATTGGTTAATTCATACTGTCTGAGGAGTAAAATCAAACTTGTCTGTGACTTAAAATCACGGAGGCGTAATGTAATTATGCCAGTCCTATTTCCTGCTGCTGTGATTGTCCTAGTTCCGGTTCACTGACTTTTGGCGGGAAAATCGTGCATATTAATGAGGGCAAAGACAAACTAGCTCTTGTCCTATTTGCTGCTGCTGTGATTGTCCTAGTTCCCGTTCACTGATTTTTGGCGGGCAAATCGTGCATATTAATGAGGGAAAAGG